TTTCCTAATAGCCTAAACCTCCCCCTGACACAGCTTCATGCTTGGGTGAGCGTGGGGATGCAGCATGGGAACATGGCATTGCTGGCCAGGGGCTGCTGGGAATCACAGTTTCCCGTCCCTGTGGGTTTTCCACAGGTGTTTGTCACGGTGTTTATGTGCCAACTGGCTTCCACCGTCCCGCACGTGCCCGTGGCCAGTTCAACGTCCAGCATGGAAAGCAGTGGCTGGGCCAGGGCCAGGCTGTGCCTGTGCCCGCTGCTCTTGCTGGTGTCGCACATGCCACGAACCTGGGCTGGGAGCCAGCGCTGCCCCCGTGGAGCCTGCACCAGTGGGCCCTGTGAGCAGCAGAGAGCCTGGGAGGCTGTGCCAGGGAACGGCTCGTGCTTGTTTGCAGAAGCACAGAGTTGTTTTTGTCCTGGCGGCGTGTGCAGGCAGCAGCCAGGCGAAGCCAGCAGGCACTGCACACGCCACTGGCCGAGCGGGAAGGAGGAGAGCTGGAATCACCCAGCACGTGTGGTCTCACTGCACATAAACAGGGGTTGTGAAATCGCTTCCCTCCCCTCCCCGAGCCCTCCCTCCAGCGGGGTGGGCTCTGCTGCACCCGCGACTGAGGCAATGAGAGCCCCCGGCTGCCCAAAATGAGGTCATGCACCCCTACACGGGGCCATGCCAAAAGTGGGGCATGAGTGCGCAGGGGCAGCGCTGGGGGGAAAGCAGGGGAATTCCCGGATTTGTAGGAATTCTGCAAGTTACACGTGGATGGGCTGGGCTGGATCCCGGGACACGTTGTCCCAGGCCCGCGTCACTGTGAGCAGGAAGGGACAGCACAGCATCCCCCAGAACTGTGTGTGGAGCCAGGATGGGAAAAGAGCCTGGAAAATGCCTGGTTTCCCAATCGGGGCATTTCCCCTCAGTAATGAGGTCACCCCACAAGCAGGACAGGGGATGAGTGTGCATTCCCCAGGCCATGGCCTTGCTGAAATGCCCGAGTGCAGGGCACATGCTGGACAGCAGTGGGGAGAGGAGAGCTTGGGGAGGGTCTCCCGTGTTACTGAGAGTATTCCAGTTCCCTGGAGCAGGAAGGAGTTAAACCCAAGGCTGTTCCCATGTAAGAGGAGTGCCAGGTCCAACTCTGATTTTAAAGCAGCCATAAAGTGAGCAGTGGAGCTGCAGCTGCCCAGCACAGGGCTCAGAGCTGGGCTGCTGGAACCCCTGTCTGCCCCTCGCTTCCCCTGCAAGAAGGATGGCACCTGACAGCTGCTTCCCCTTACACTGCTGTGGGGCACAGGGCTGGGCACAGTGCAGAGCCACGGGGCAGGGCCAGCACACACCCACAGGGACAGCAAAGATGGGCTGATGCTGGGAGCCCTGCTGGGTAAACCACATTTGGTGGTAAATCCCATTAGCAATCTCTCCTTCACCCCCGTGTTGGGCTCACCAACCATACCTTTGTATGGTTGGCGCTTAAATCTCTGTGGGTTAGAAGGAATAAAGATAACCCTGCTCTTTGCAGAACAGAGTGTAGTGTGACTCTCCAGGCCTGCCCTGTCCTACATTCAGCTGGCACAGGGGTGTGGGGTGACGGTGACATCTCAGGGGACACCCTGGGGGAGGAGCCCTCCTGGAGCAAAGGGGTATCCCCTCGGGGTTGGCACTGTGAGCAGCCAGCGGGCAGGGGTGCTGTGCTGTTGGCTGTGCCAAAAGCCTGGCTGAGGCCTGGCAGTGGTGACTGGATAGGTCAGGAAAGGTTCTGCAGCTGCAAGGAGGCTGTGAAAAGCTGTGTTTGGGGCATGCAGGGACAGGCAGGACCCCTTGTGTGTCCTGGGAGGCAGCACAGTGGCACTTGGTGCCCGGGGTGCAGAGCTGGGGCAGCAGGAGGGCAGGGTGGGCATCTCGCAGTGGCATGGGCATCGCATCCCATCCCAGGCTTTACACCCCATCATGGATGTGGCATCCTGGCGTGGGGGATTGCCTGCCAGAGTGACCATCACCCCCTGGTGTGGGCACCACCTCCCATCGGGGGCACTGCACCCCGTGGTGGGGAACCAGCTCACCTGATGCCCACCAGAAGCAGCCAGCCAGGCTGGCAGAGGTGGAGGGGGGGGTATAAGCAGCGTGGTTCTTCCAGCCAGTTCAACTAAACCGCCGGGAGGAAAACGAAACCTGTTTCCCCGGCGCCCCACCTGCCCTGGAAATGTTCCCCCTGGAAATGGGCAGGGCTGGGGCGGTTATTAAAGTGAAAGCTTGTAATAATGAGCTGCTCGTTAGCCCCGAGGATTTCTGGTGGAGGAGAGAGCATGGGATTTGCCCTTGGGTAACAACAGGGCGGGGGAAAAAAAAAAACAACACCCTTGTGTAGGGCAAGTGTTAAAACAAGAGCCAGAGCTGCTGGTGGGGAGAGCAGAGCCAAGGCTGGAAGAAAGGAGCAAAAATAAGATGCAGTGCTTTGCCATGACCCCCCACACTCACTGCCCTCCCACTCCCCAGGGAAACCGCCCCGTCCCACAGAAGTGCTGAGTTCCTTATGGACCTTTATATACATATCACTTTATTTAGGTGACAAACACTAAAGAAATCTGAACACACATATAAAAAAAGACAACCAACATACACAATAAGGTTATTCTTCTTCAGCCCCCCCCGGATGTGCATCACTCCTAGACGTGCAGCCTGGGGTGCCCTATTTGCAGCAGCTGCACTTGGCAGAGGGGGGTCCCTTGCAGACACAGCCCTGTGCACACTTGGCACATCCTGCTGGGCAGCAGGAACAGCAGCCTGCAGGAGAGAGAAAAATATATTAGGGACATCTTTTCCTGGGGGCTCTCAGGGTGGGGTTTGGGGGGTCCCACTGGCTTGGAGACATCCCATGTATCCACATCCTTCCCTTATAGCAGCATCTCCATCCCTGGCAGCATCTCCCAGGGTGTTTGTGCAGCCAGGGCCAGCCCTGGAGAGGCAGCAGAAGGGCGAGGAACCTCTAAGGGGAACCTCACTGGGGTCCCCTCAGTCCCTCTCTTTGCAAAGCCTCCTGCACATGCCTCTGCTGGGGGTGACAGCATCAGAAGCACCCAGAAGAAATCCCAGTGCTGGTTTAGGCATCCCCTTGTGCTGAGCCTGAGGTGCCAGTGAGGGTTTAGGTGACACTGGGTGCCTGGCAAGGGGGTGGGATTCTCACTGTACTTGGGATGTGTAGTGAAACACCCCCTGAGTGTTTCTGTCCCCCCCCTCCCCCCCGGGGGGCTCAGGGACCCCTCTTACCTTTTTTGCATGATGTGCATTTGCAGTTTTTGCATTTGCAGTTGTCCCCGCAGGTGCAGGTGCCACCTAAAACATAAGGAAAAGGAGAAAAAGGGGTTGAGAGGAGGCGGTGGGAGGGGATGCCCATATCCCAGGGATCAGCGGGGGAGAGCATTGCCGCCCCTCCGAGCATCCGCTGATGCTTCAGCCTCGATCAGCAGGAAGGTCAGGGCGTTCCCAGCCGCTTCCCAGCGAGAGGCTCCCAGTGTGACATCGCAAAGCTGGGAGAGGATTTCAGCAGCCGGCCCAGCCGGCAAGGAGAGAGCTTCGGGAATGTGGAAGGAGGCCGGCGGGCGGGAGTGCCGGTGTTCCCGCTGGGAGGATGCTCGGCTGCCCCCGGGCCGGAGGAGGCTCTGGCTTACCCGTGGCACAAGGGCAATCCTGGGAGTCCATGTCTGGCTGGGCTGGGTGCCGGCTGTCGGGCGCGCTGGGCGGCGGGAAGAAGCTTTTGGCAGGGCTCGCAGCCGCCTCCTATTTATCGCTGGCCAGGCGAGAGCGAGTGCAAAACCTCCGCCCCTGCATCCTGCGCACGGCTCGGGGCGGCTGCTGCCCCGGGCGCTGCTGATTCACTGCCCGGGCGGCCCAGCGTGACCCGGGGCTGCCACGGCCCCCCGCGCCCCCCTCCCTGGGGCCACCCCTCTCTGCTGAGGCCTTGAGGGGTGCAGAGAACGGCCAGCTCTCGTCACACGGATGACACCTGCCTGCCTCAGGAGTGCTGCTCTGCTCCCAGGGGCTGGGGGCTGAGGGGGTGCACCTAGGGAGCCCCCCTCCTCCCCCCCAACGTCCACCCCTTCATTGATCGATCGATTGATTGATTGACTGATGCCAAAATCAATCTGCCAAGCCGCCGGATGTCTCAGGGAGTACATTGATCCCGGGACTGCCACCACTGGTGGGAAATCCCAGTCCCCTCCTCTCGGAGCTGGCACAGTGGGGTGATGGGGAGCTGGCACAATGAGGTGACAGGGGTGCAGTCCCTGCCCGAGCCCCTGTCCTGTGGCTCTGACACCCCCCCTGCGAGCAGGAGCAGCAACAAGCTGGACTGGCCTGGCCAGAGCCTGCCGTGCCCTCCCAGCGCCCCAGGACGGTGGCACCCCCGTCCCCTCGGCGCCGTGCATGGCACCTCGGGGCCCCGTCTCCTTCCTGGCTGCGGTGCCCCGGCCCACTCGTCTGAATGAATTTCCTTGCTCCATTAGCCGGCTCTGCAGGGGGGGAGGGTGATGGGCAAGCTGCCATCACCCTGGTCAACTCCTCCAGCGGGTTTTACCCACCCACTCGAAAGAGCAGCCAGGGTTTGGGATGGAAGGCACACACACACACACACACACACACACACACACAAAAAGATGCTTGCTGAGATTTTGGGTGTGGGGACAGTACCCTGTGTGCAGGAGGAGCATCCGTCCTCCTCACCCCTGGGGTTTCTGTGTGCTCCCTGGTGTTGGTGGTCCCCCATCCCAACTGCCCCCTGCTTTATGACTCCTTTGCCTTGGGGTTTTATCCTGGCCTGTGGTGCCCGGCTAAGGTGGTTTGTCGATGCTAATCCAGCCGAAACAACAGCTCAGGGAGTATTTTTACCACTCAGCTGTCTGGGCTTGTCAGGAGCTTGCTGGGTGACCTGATGGGGAGTGTTGCCAGCACCCCAACCCAGCGTCTCCTCCAGCCTCGCCAGGCTGGTGTGGGAAATCAGCATGGAAAAGCCTGAAGAAGGCAGAGCCGATGGGCCCCTTCCCCAGCTGTGCCCCTCCTGCAGCAGATCGCGTGTGCCCCGGCGTGCCAGCCCTGCGAGGTCGTGTGAGTGTCACACTGCTGCTGAGGCACTGGGGCGTGATGGCAGGGGCCGGTGCCAGGGGCTGGGCGTGTGCCAAGGGCTGGTCACTCCTGTGGGAGTCAGAAAACAAACACGTGGGGAACACATGTGAGATGGGGAACACCTGCCTGGGAACACCACCCCGGCTACAGCCCCCCGTGCTGTGTCGGTGTCATGGCAGAGGGGGCACATCTCCCTGGGGTCCTGCTCCTGAAATAACCAGCCAAGCTCTGCTGCAGAGCAGGAATATACACAGGGAATTGCTTCCTGGCATGCTGAGATGGATGCATGGGCAACAGCAATGCACTGTGGCATCTGCTGTGTCCTCCCTCACCACCTGGCACCCTTGACCACCCAGACAGAGATTGTCCCTGTCCCCAGCTGGTGGTGGCCCAGGGATGCAGGGACAGGCAGCCCCTCCAAAGTGGTCCCTCTCTTCCAGCCTGGGGGAAAGGAGGCCAAGCCCAGGCTCAGGGAACAGAACAATCTCTGCCATGAGAGGACGGGGTGCAGGAAAAATTCTCCAGTATCTATTCTGAGCTCAGCCCTTTTTACCTTCTTTCCTGCCTGCCTGCACAAGGGAATAAAGCATCTTCCAGGTGATGCAGGACTGGGGGGTCAGGACTCTGGGAGATCTTGCATTGCTCCTGGTCCATTCTGTAATTATTTTGGGATGGGGCCGGAGCAGTGGATTGACAATCAGACAGAAGCAACCCGTGATTGGGGTGATAAGCTGCAGAGCTGGGATCCCAGGGGCACCTTCCTGCTGCTTAAATACCCCTTGTGACAAAGTCTTGCCAGCCTCAGTTTGCATTCTGGCCCCTGCCCTCCATTTGCTGGGAGATCCTGGGTGTTCCCCAGCCTTTAAACGAGCCTGGTGCTGCTCCCCAGAGCCCAGCAGAGCGGGCAAGATCCCTGCACAGCGTTTATTCACCAGCCCAGCTGTACCCCTCGGCGCTCCTGTCCCCTGCGTGGGATCCCTGGCTCTGTCCCCGGGCACAGCCGTGGCAATCACCCCGAGATCGCCTGGCAGATTAACGCAGGTGAGTCAGCTCCAGTGCCCCAGGCAGAGCCGGAGATGATGCTCGCCGTGGGATGGGGATGGCTGAGCAGCACCACGGGCATGTGAGGGACAGGGCTCCCTGGAAAGGGGTGAAGGAGGCTGACAGCTTCCAGGACAATGTGTCGGAGGCACCTGTTCCTGTTGACACCTGGGGTGCCTTGTGCTGATTGCTGAAAGCCACGGGCCGGTGCCAGCTGGTGCCGGTGACTGGCAGTGACTCAGGGCTGGTGCCAGGCAGGCGAGGACAGCAGCCAGCTCCCGTGGAGGTGACCTGGCACGGGTCTGCCCTGGCTCCCTGCTGAAGAACTCATGGGCACGCAGCAGCCTGTGATGGACCTGCATCAGCCTCCACCTGCCAGCCATCCAGCACATCACCTTCAGGGGACCCTGCAGACCACTGCAGGACCCCCCTTCTCCTCTCTGCTGGCACAGGTCTCCCCAGAGTGCTCCCCTGGGCTCATCATCCCCTCCAGAGCAGTGCTGGGGGTGGGGACCTGTCCTTCCCACAGGAATTCCTACAGTTCCCAGCAGCTGGGGGGGCTCCGCTGGCAAAGCCCCCCAGCTCGGGGGTATGGACTGTGGGCAGGGATGCAGGGAGCTCTGAATCCAGAGTGGCACAGCACAGAGAGCCTGGGGGACAGGCCCTGGGGGTACCCTGCCCCTCACTGATGCCTCTTGCTTTCCAGACAGGGTTGCTGATGCAGGGAGGTCAGGCAGCCCGGCTCTGCCTGCTCCAGCTGCTCTTTGTGTGGCACTCTGGGCGGGAGTGCCACGGCCGGCTGGGCCTGAGCTGCCAGGGGGGGCATGGAGACACGGCCCACCTGGGACCAGCCTTTCAAAGCCAAACAGAGAAAGTAAGAGGCCTTATTTTAGCACTCAGCAAACAGCCAGCACTCTCCAAGTGCTGGAAGCCGGCAGGAAGCCACGGGAGTGATTGATGCTTAGAAAGCAGGCCCGGCTTTGATCCGACGGGAATCTCAGGTTATTGTTTGCTGATGATAAACAAGTGTTTAAAACACGGGAAATGGGTGCTGACGTCGTTTTGTTTTGCCAGTGCTTGCCAGCCCTGTGGCAGGGGAGGAAGAGGGTGAATCACCTCTCGCCTACCTTGGGAAGCCATTCCCAACCGCTCCCCATGTGCATAGGCAAAGCCTTGGAAACCATTTGGGAGGGAAACCGGATCAGTGGGGTGACCTCAGGCAGTGTAGACTCCTTTCTTTTTCCCAGAAAACGAGGAGCAAAGACTTGCTCCGCTCTCAGTGGCAGTCATTAGCTGAACCCATCAGAGGATTTCCCTCCTCCCATCTTCCTGGGAAGCTGCCTCCTTCCCTGCCTGCACCTTGATTGCAGCTTTGGGAAAACATATCCCAGTCAGTGCTTCTCCAGATCCCAGCAAAGACAGGTGTGTCCCCATTTTCCCGGGGAAATGCCCTCCTTGCTGGGCTTCCCTGCCCCACATCGTGCCCGTAGCCGGAGGAAGGCACCTTCGGTGGGGTCTGCTGGCAGTGGGAAGGGGCCGGGCACATTTCCAGGCGGCAGGAGTTGCAGGGTGTGCAGTCCTGCGACGCTTTCACAAGGCGGCAGAGAGCTTTGATGTGGGCTCCGGGGGAGCCGCCCTGTGACCCAGCCGGCTGCGCTGGGGCTGCGGCTCCCAAGGCCGGGATTACGAGCCGGGCTCAGCTGCCGGCTCATCCCGTGGCTGCGGGCGAGGGCTTGGCGTTTAGTCCTCACTTCTTATCTGGAAGGGAGCTATCAATATTGCCTTCCCCTTGAAATAAAAAGTGCGGAGAGGGTGGGGATTTGCTTGTTATCGAGTTTTAGGGAGAAGGGAAAGGAAGAAACGCTGAAGTGATGCCATGAACTGGGGCTAGGAGGGCAAACCGACCCTGCGAAGCCCCCGCCGGTTTTGGGGTGTGCATCCTGAGGGACCCCAGCACATGGTGCAGGCTCCCACCCGGCAGTACAGGCTTTTGGGGATGGGTGATGTGTGTTTGGGCATGTCTGGAAGATGAAAGGGCTGATTCCTCTTTTGATCATGAAATTCTCATAAATGTTAATGGGAATTACTTCGAGGTCTAACAAGGGTTGAATTGCAGCCCCCAAGGGAAGGAAGGGGGTGAGGACCAACCAAGCTTTGGCTGGGAAATAAAAGGGTTTGAATTTATCTCGTCCCCCACCTGCAAGGGCAGAGAACCAGTGGGTCAGGGGCTGCCAAGCATCCCTGCACACCTTCCCAGGAAAGGGGGTCCCCGGGTGTCCCCCACTTTGCCCAACACTGCTGGCATCTGCATGACAGGTTTTAAGGATCACCTTAACTCTAGGCATCATTTAAACTCACCAATCTAATGCTTTCCCAGTGTAGAAATTGGATTTTCTTATTTTTATTTTTTTTCCTTTTTTTTTTTTTTTTTTTTTTTTTTTTTTTTTTTTTTTTTTTTTTTTTTTTTTTTTTTTTTTTTTTTTTTTTTTTTTTTTTTTTTTTTTTTTTTTTTTTTTTTTTTTTTTTTTTTTTTTTTTTTTTTTTTTTTTTTTTTTTTTTTTTTTTTTTTTTTGTGTGTGTGTGTGTGTGTGTGTGTGTTTTTCTTACTCTTACATCTTCCCTTCTCTTTTGTGTCTTTCAGGTTCCCACAGACTTCAAACTCACCTGCTCCAGCTACTTGCCGCCTCCCCTGGCTGAAACGTGACCCAAAGTTTCCAAGTATCGTTACCTTGGGCATATTTAATTATTTTATTCCCCTTTAGTTGCTAATTAGAAGCCAAGAGTA